ATCAAAATCTAAAACTTTCTTGCCATTCTCTTCCTGTGAGAAGTAAAATTCCAAAGTAGCGAGGACAGTAATACGTGTCAATAGCAGCTACATACCGGCAAAGCCCCTCCCTCCCCCCGCCAAAGACTGCTTAAACGCTAGCTAATGCCAAAAAAGATTCACAAGAAAATCGAAAGTCTTGCCGAACAAGTACTAAGGTGTGCGTAAGTCAAATTATGCTCGAAATTTTGCCCCTAACTGGCTGGATTTGTTGATGCTGTTTCAGACGAAATGCGCTAAACTTATGCGTTAGCTATCAGTGCCAAGAATGCCATGACTAACGAGACAGCCGGTCCGGGATTCTATGTCAATATTGTTATGGGGATGCAATCATAATTTCATGCACCGCTTTGATGAAACATATTAGTTCACCTCTACGTAATAATAGATTCGCTTTCGAGCTTCATCGCTGGCGTCGTGTCTGTAGACGAGCGATGCGTTTATGATGGCGTTCAGGATAATCATAACCATCATGCAACTTTGAAATGCTGTCGAGCGCACTACCTGAACACAATGCTTTCACAGTTACAAAACATGTTAGTTTTCAGTTTATTCGCCCTTTCAGAATGAGCTCCCTCAACCAGTGTTTCAGCATCTTTATCAGTTTTTAAAATCATGGCTTGCATGTCAGAAACTGCTTTGATTAGTGAGCGCAGGCCGGTTCGTTGGATTACTGTCCATTCATCCATTCTGATTGCGAGTATGGCTCAAAGTGCGATGGTATCACATCCATTTGCGCTACGCATTCCAACGCATATTGCGCTACGCAATATGCGTTGGAACTCATGCATTTTGATATCTGATCGAGGTATTACGCGCAATATGAGTGAATGATGGAATTGCCAACAGGGGTAAAACCTCATTCGTGATAAAGTCTACATTAATTTTGCTGCCCATTTGGGCAGTAATAGTTGCAGTTGTTGTTTCTGGTAAGCTTAACGCCATAACAACAATTTCCTTTAAAGCTAAATGAATCGGGGTTTTTTTAGTGATTTCTTCCCTTAGCCTCCTTACTAATTTGTTTTTAGATTGGTTAAACGTAATTTTTTTTGTTCACTTCACAAAGTTTAATTAATCATTCTTCCAAATTGTCGTAATTCCTAAAGTGTAACTTTTTAATGCTAAATCTTCTCAGAAATGTTGCATTTAGACATCAGATACTGAGTGACTGACTTTTTCTATGTTGCTAAAGTCTTTTAAGTTCCAAATGACCTTTATATTTTTGCTTCTGTTGCTTCTGGAAATCAGCAGGATGACTGATGTTTTGACCATTTCAAACCATCCATCTTCCGAACCTATGCTAACAGCCAACCAAAAAAGGCACGTCCATTTAACTCATCGATTTTTTATTCAAAGTACCTTGTATAGCAATTTCGGCGAGCTTTCTCGGTTCAGTTTGTCCGCATCCACAGCCACCAGACGCCATCCCTCTTCTGTTTTCTCAAGTCTCTTCAAAAAATTTTTCTTCGTGGCATAATTACAACAAAAGAAGTTTTTAATAGTTTTCTAGCAAAACTCTTATCAAAATTGCGCCTACTAAAAATTGCCTACAAACAATGCACCCCACATAGGATGGCCCCTCAC